CAAAACCCCAAAACCCCAAAACCCCAAAACCCCAAAACCCCAAAACCCCTTAATGAGAATTTTGTTGAGATTTTTCGCGTAAATAAATTGATAAATGAATAAATAAATAATATTTCACATAAGTGTGCAATTCGTTGTTAATAAGTGCATTAGCATTGCAGATGATATCAGGCGCCTCAAAAATTTACTTGTTTTTACGAAGTCAATATTCCAATAGGATCAAATGATCTCAACTCTCATTATTGAATGAGGTCTTTGATATTGTAATCTGAGCCAGTAGCATCAAATGAGACTGTGTTCATATTGTTGTTCTGAGTAAAACTTTGTGAAGCGTACTTCAAATCGTCAGTGGTATCGCTTTTATTGATGCTCTGTTCATGGTTTGAGAACTCATAGCCATTGTGATTGTTATTGCCTTTTCCATTGTTGATGTGAGTGATATGAGTCTCTTCCTCATCTTGTTCCTACTCTGAACATTCATCGTCGAAGTTATACTCATGAGTGAGTTGATGTTCCTCCTCCTCATCCTCACTCTAACTTGTGTGGAATGCTTCTTCATGCTCTTCCTCTTCCAAAATAGCAACGCCTCCAATTGATCTTGCACTTACAATGTTTGAGGATGGCTGCTGACTCGCAATTTTATTTGTGGCTAAAGTCTTTGACATGATCTTGCTCTTTGACTTCTAAAGAGTAGCCTTTGCTTATTTCCTTCTGACTTAGTTGTCCTAGGAACAGGTATCATCAGTAGAGATATGATTTTGGAAAGACATAGAAACTGATGTTCTTTGTGACTTGCTGTTATTGGCATTATTAGCAAGTCTCATGTTTTTAGTGCTTGAACCTTGCTTTTAAAGGGATAGTCTCTTAGTGTTTCCTGCTGGAATGCCTTGCAAGAGAGTTGAACTACCAATGACACTACTATTTGAAACTACTACAGCCTTAGTTTAGTTGAGATTGATCTGAGAGGCATTAAAGGTCAGAGCTTCAATATTGGTATTAGAGAGTCTAAGTCTCTCATTGGAATGCTCTTCTCTAAACTATGGTTTTCTGATGTTGCTGCCTTATCTTTTCTATCCAGATTTTGATAAGCCTAGTTACTAATACTTCTCATATACCTTGATAGGTCCTCTCTAAGCTGGAGAGCGATTCTTGGATGACAAGTCAAAAGAGGTGTTTTCCTCTTGGAGTGGACATTATACATTGGTCAAAGGTTGCTTCTTATCCTTTTGCTTTCCTTTTTAAGGAACGACTGATTTTGCTCTGGACATAGAGGATAGAGTTGGCTTTAAGTAGTCGCATTGCTTGAATTCACTAGCTCTTCTTGAGTTGAAACTTATAATAGCTTGCGATGCCTAGAGTATCTAAGGCTATTGTTATATTGATGAATTTATGGCTTATGTGTCCTAGATTGATCTAAATTGCTGCAGTAGCTGTTCTTAGGGAGCATTCATAGAACTGTTGTTGCTATTTTCCATTTGAGAGGAGTTGTATGGATTAGTGTTGATCAATGCGAACTGTTTGGTTTAAGACTTGTCCTATTTGGCAGATTTCTCATTTGCTAAGTTGTTATTTGAAGGCGGTTGGTTATTTCTAGTTGAATTACTCTGAGTTACTTGAACGTAGGTAGTCTTGACACTGCTGTTGATCTGGATGGCTGATGGAGTCTCTTGGCCGTGCTTCTTCTCCTTGACTATCTGGTTTAGCTTGTTTACATAGGTTTTATTTTTTTAAATGTAGTTGCTTCCAGTCTGATTAGCCATATTTGTGATGTTCTGAGTAGCAGAAGCATTTTACTAAGGTTAAGAAGTGTTGGATACTTGACCATTCTTTGTAGTTTAGGCTACAGGGTGCTGTTTTTAAGGACTGCCTACTAACTAGTCCTTCTTGAACTCGCAAATCTCTTCCAATGTAGTGTTTCTCAAGGCTGAGGACTTCTTTCTATCGAAAAGCTGTTTAGCCTTTTTAGCCATCTCTGCATTGTAAGCTTATGCTGTATTATTTTCATTATTTGGATTAACCTTAGCGTTGCTTTTGTTCAATGTTTAATGAGCAGAGTTATTTGAATTTGAAAATGCAGTTAAGTCGAAAGCACAGACTCTAGTGATGGAGTTTTCTTTTGAATTGATGCTCTGGAAGTCATTTGGTAGCAACTTGATGTGACTGTTTTGCTTGCTGTTTTTCATTTGATGCTTAGAAGACTATTGCAGCTTGCTTTCAAACTTTTTGTGCTTGCTGGTGAAGTCCATAGATCTCTTCGATAACCTGCTATTGCTGGCAAGGTTAATGGTGCTCTGCACAACAGACAACTGATGTCTGTGAGAGTTTTAAGGAAGCATCTCTATGAAATTGGTACTTTGTTCTTCCTTGTTCAAGCCACTAGGAGTGTCAATGTGATTTTCTGATAAGATTTGGTGCTGCTGGTTAGTGCGATTAGATAAGGGTCCTACTGACTTCTTGGCTAGTTGAGATTTCTAGCTCAGGACTTAATCTTATTTCTAGTGAGGGTTGTTGTTTGACATATCCATTGTGCTGCAGATGTTTTCAAAGCCACTTAGTTGGAATCCTTGATATCCAGATGAGTTCTTGTTTCTACTGCTTGAGACTTATTAATTATTGGAAGTGTTCGCATTGTTTGAGTTTGACGAGTTGATGTTGGTGTTGGTGCTTATAGAACTGATGCCCTGTATATTGCTATTGATTCTACATGATAGCTGAGACTAGTGAGCATTGCTGGCGCTTGACTTTTTAGTTGAAGGCATATTTTCTCTACCCATATTTAGATTAGCGTGATTATTTTATGATGAAGGAGCTGCACCATTCTGATTGTTCTTTGTGGAAGAGGGCTGTATTTTTATGGCACTTGAGAATGTCTAATGGGCTACTGTTCCATTCAAATTATTTTAGGTAACTGCTTGGATAATATTCTGACTCTTGTTTTTACTAAGATTTCTGGGCTTTTAGGCTTAGTTATTTTGTATAGCTTTAAGTGTATTACTAGTGCTGCTTACGTTTACATTGGTATTACTTGTATTTGCTTTAAGGTTTGAGGATGATGTTGCTAAGAGATTATTGACTTTCTTTGAGTTTTAACTGAGCTCCTAACTTCTGGCATTAGACTGGTTTTAAACTGTCTGAGCCTTGTTTTAACTTGTGATCTTAGAGTTCTCTCCGGTCATTTGACTGCTATAAGTCATCATAGTTGGCGATTAAGGATCACTAGTATAAGAGTTAGTAAGTGTCAATTTAGTCTCATCTGAAGATTTTTGTGGTTGCTTTAGCAGCTAGGGCTTATCTTTTCTAACACTTGCTAACTAAGTCTAAGGCTTATCCTTTCCTTAATCAAAAATAAGATATGGATCTCCATCGTTGAGGTTAATTCTAAGGATATTCTTTACATGCTAGCTGTTTCTCGTAGAAGAATCATCAGATCTGGTAGTATTATGACTAATATGCATTTGCTCTGCCTCTTCCTGAATAACTTAGGGTTTTATCTAGAGGTGCAAGTGTGTTTAGCTTTAAACATTGATTGTGTTTTGAGATTTGAGACCTAGACCTCTATTTTAGTTGGAGGCAGATCTGATTTTTTCTTGATTTTCCTTGTTATGCTTATTGCTTGCCTTGTTCTCACTCTTGGGATTAGTTGATTAGTAATTCTAATTCTGATTTGGTGTCTTGCTATTACTGTTATTATTATTGCTAACTATTCCAAACTATTTCTGGTATATTTTATATAGTTTATCTGAGCATTTCTTTACTTCTCCGTCATATGTATAATCTGTGAGTTCTTCTAGTCCTGCAGCATTCCATTCTGGGATAATTTTGCTCATTTTACGAGCTAAAACTACACATGAAATGGCTACTACTGATGGTCTATAGTTTTTGGAAAGATCGTATTCCTAAATAGCAAGATCTGCAAAGAACTCAGCATGCTTCTTTACTGACTTTAAAGTCTTTTCATCAATATCTTAAACATTTGTGGTGGCAGACTTAGAAGCTTAAACTTTATCAGTAGAAAAAACAATACCCTATCCTATCAAATTTTGCAAAAAATGCATGGGTGTAAGCTTAAAAAGATCCCAATTAAGTTTAAAGAGTACAGTTTACTCAGCCTTTACCATTTCATCGTACCCGATTATTCTCTATTTGGCTTACGCCTTCTGAATTTCTCTTATAAGTGGAATATTATCATCAAGTTCATCAAATTTTGATGCAAGAAGTAAGCATGCACATGGCAATACTTCTTGCTTGACTTTTTCAAAGATTTTATCATCTTATAACAGAATGTCTAAGAACACCACTGCAAGATGTGTAGTCAAGATTCTTTGCTTGAGCTTTTCTCCAATTTCAAAGATCCAATCTACTAGGACTCTCCTTGTCTACACATATTGGATTTAAGTAATTTATTTCTAATGACAAATTATAATTACCTTGATTTGCTAAGAGCTTAAGCTGATAAATTTGCCTTGGATTTGCTTGAATCTTTAAGATGACTCTTCGAGTCTCAAATAGCTGTATAGCTCACTTGGAGACATATCAGCGAAAAAGAAGTCTTCTTTTTGTTTCAAAGCCTATAGAATATAGATAAGGCATTTGCTATTTATGATGGATAATTTAGGCATAAATTATTAATGCTTCTTGAGATAAAATTGTGCATTTTATCGATATTTCATGAGCAAACTTACCCTCACTTTTTAATGAGATTTTCTCTTTTTAGCTGAACTGTCATATCTATCTCTTTTGGTTTAACTCCCAAAACCAGCATTTTGCTCTTCTTCCTCGTTTCCAACGATAAATGCTCCACACAACTAGCAATTTCTTTTTTGCAGATGATCAATCATCTTCAGGTCTTTCACATTATCAGAAAGCATACAAATGCATTTCCAAGCTTCAGAAACCTCCTACTTTTCCTTGGCTTCCTTGTTCAGGAGACGCTCGCTCCTCAGGAGATTTATAGTGTTTTTGAACGGCATGTTTTAATTCTAGTCAGGGGTCTTAATCTTGTCGTAGGTAGTGAACAGTGCCTGGGAGGAGCTCAGATTATTTGCTAGAATTAGGGAAACTTCACTTACAGATGTCATATAAATTTTAAATATATTTACGTTGATTACTTCAACTCTATTAATAAAATTTATTTTCTTGTCAATTCAGTTAATTTCGCACACTCTCGGGGTTTTGGGGTTTTGGGG